AGACGTGAATAAAAACAAAACTTGATTTTAATTACTCCTGCTAATAATAATGAGACTAATCGTGTGAGACGTTCGCGCCACCATTTACCCAGTCAAAATGCATTTCTTATTCTAGTCAATTAAGACTTCTAAGTGTTCTAACTGTAATAATCTGTAAGGCATGCCAATCAAGCCAGCCCTATTCGTTTGGCTTGATTGGCAGGCAGCTCTAGCCAATACAACCATTGTTGTAATATGAGGTTATGAAAAACACGTAAACCTAGTCTAACATGGCCGACCTAGCAATAATATTTAAGAAGCATAGCTATCTCGCTCTGGTGGATTGGTCTAATAGATAATAATAATAATAATAATAATAATAATAATAATAATAAGAGATCGTTCACAATTATCAACATTTTCACAATCGTACAAACCGTACGCTGGGGGAAGGGGGAGGGTCAATGCCCGCCGTACGCTTTCAGAATTTTCAAAATTTGTACTTGAGCGCGACAGGCGCCATGTTGACTCCAGCAGCAAATTAAGGGCGCTATACCTATGCATACATACGAATGGGTGTTCGTTTGTATTCTACACTAGGAAAGTGCTTTCGTTGAAATAAAATCGCATTTCATTTCATGACGGTATTACTATTTTTATAAATATGAATACTTGTATTATTTCATATTCATACTTTATTTGTTTCTTTTGAGAACTTGAAAAATAGATTCAAGAGTCATACAATGTGTTCAGAATAGCTTAGAATAAACCAAATTGCACCTTTTTTCAAAAAAATTTCGGGGGGTTTAACGTTGAATTAAGAGTTCATGTAGAAATGATGAAGTAGATCCAAATCCAGAACTTGTGTGGTAAACTGTATAACCTTTAATATCTTAAACATATCACATCTCCTTACACACAGACAAAGACCCGCGCACACGCGCGGTCGCGTGTGCGCGTACTCTCGCGACCAGAACCCGAATCTTCCTTCCTACGTCTCTCTTCTCTATATTTCCCCAAAACTTATACCACATCCTGCACGCACATGTAACCGTTCTCACAGATCGCGTTCACAATGACCCAAAAAACTGCGTAACCTAAAACCCGCTTATCCGCCAACTCTCTGTAACATCAATGCAGCCGCCCAATATGCGCGACGCTGCGTCTACGCAGACTAACTGGTCACCAAACAACCCTAGTATATAGACTCGCTGACTACTTCATGTAACACGTGCAAAACACATGTTACATTATCTCCCTTTTCTCCAAAACGATGACTATACCCTGTCATCGATTCAGCGTCCTCGCTGATCTGCACTTTAACCTGAACCTAACCAATTGCAAAAAAAGACTACCCTAATATCTTCCTAACTCCACCCAACGAGAGAAACGTCTTTCTGTCCGATTAAACAACCTACAATCAATACCCAACATAACTACAATCAAAATACAATAAGAAAACACATATGAAGCGTAGAAAACAAGTCACGATAAAGTTTGATCACAATACAAGTCAGAAACTCAACACATTTGGCAGTGAACATTTTGATATCGCTGAAATTACTCTCACTTTTGCGTATTTTTAGGGCTGTAACGTACGTGGTGTATGCGTATATGCCGACACAGTTTGTTTCGCTCACCCATTTTAAGTATTTCCGTCTCGTTCATCTCTTGCGTTTTTGTTCCGTTCGTGTGACTGCATCCTTCTCTTCCTTCTTCGGAATCTATTCTTCCTTTTTCGTCCTTCTCGTCTCCGTTGACAAGCCTTGGCGACGCGGCGGCAGCAACGGTCCTCCTTCTCCACGATCTCCAGCCGATCTTCGTCGTCATCGTCATCGTCGTCGGCGCTATAGCGCAGCCTGGCTCCCATCTCATCATCAGAACTCGCTCTTTCCGTCCCTCTCTCCCTCTCTCGCTCCGTCATTCTTCCTCTGTTTCGTTGCTGGCCCGTAGATCGATATAATAATGAAGTAACTTGCGTTGTGTCCGCAAAGGGATACCCAAGTTTTGGACTGTCACGGCAACCAAAATGTAACGTTAGAATGAAGATATAAATTCAAAACTTTTGTTGTAGCCGGAATAATCTTTAATAACTTGCACAGTTTAGCCACATCTCGACAATCGCACAAAGAGACAAAGAACGCACACACGCGCATACGCGCGTGTGCCTCCTTCCGCGACCAGAACCAGAATCCCCTTCCTACATTTCTTTTCTCTATATTCCCCCCGAAACTCATACTACATTCTGCACGCACATGTAACCGTTCTCACAGACCGCGCCCTACCCCCATTTCACAATGACCCTAGAAACGGCCGACCTAAAACACGTTTACTATTCTCCCTATAACATCAATCTAGCCGTACAAGATGCGCGACGCTCTGTCTAGCTAGACTATGACTAAAACAACTAGAAGTCTAGCTCCACTGACTAATTCATGTAACACGTGCAAAACACATGTTACAGGGGCATGCCCCCGGACCCCCCTAAGCTGGGCGAGCTTCTGCGGCGGTCGCTTTGCTAGGTCAACGTGACGTGCAAATACGCATTTGAATCCATTATGCGCGTTTTCCCCAAACTGGCTATTACCTCCGTTGTCTAATTTTCCCTCAGAAAAAACCTTGAGTCTACACTATTGCCCGCCATCGTGCCGGTTGGTTACACAGACAGTCTGTGTAACCAACCAGCACGATGGCGGGAAATAGTTCTAGCCGCGCTGGTGACCTGGATCAATTGTTGAAATTCATCAACGAGGATGTATTGTCCACAAGAACCCGACCAACAAATACATGGAGTTTATAAATGTCTTTGTGTTTGTGAATGATCAACGTAAACGAGCAGATGTTGTGTCTGAAGGCCAGAGAACATGCATTCTTCATAGACTCCAGTCCAATGCAATATATTGGGCACCGTCCTCAACAGGTAAATACTATTTTGTCATTTTGTAGATAATTCACCATCATCACTGTCATCGCCATCTCCACCACCATGATCATCATCATCACCATCTTTATCGCAATCATGATTGCCATCAACACTGTCATCATCATCATCATCATCGTCGTCATGATCATTATCATTGTCACAATCAGCGTTAGCATCATCATCTTTTTGAGAAACAATCAATCAATAAAACTAAGCAAACAGGATATAAATCTTTTACGCATTTCTTAATATTTTCCTTCGTTTTGTAGCAAAATTAGACTACAGGCAAATCCCTTTATATTGAGATCATTGGGACCACCAAATTATGCTTGTTACAATGAATTCTTATTTATTATAAACAGTATTTAATAATTTTGATCTATTTCCACTTGTTTGTGCCAGAAAATTTCATTCTTTATATCAAGATTTTGTTACATCCGTGCTCGTTGTAACAGGGTTTGCATGTAATTCATATACATGTATCTCTATGACATTGTAGAACAGTGTGAAAAAAATCAACATTTGTTTTCATATACTTTTAGGGGGAAGGGGGGGGGGTCTCGAAAAAGTGTACTCTTTGTACACTTGTGAAAATATTGATAATTGTGAAAGACCCCTAAATACTACTACTACTACTACTACTACTAGTAGTAGTAGTAGTAGGTAGTAGTAGTAGTAGTAGTTAGTAGTAGTAGTAGTAGTAGTATAATAATAATATAACACGGTGTAATAAACGAGGCATTACGCTGAGTATCATTGCAGGGAATGGCGTGTAACGGTGTATGTTGAGCATGCCTATGATGGAAGGCAAGTGTCCTCCATCTCTAGCGCTCACAAAATAGACCCTGGTAAGGAAAAGGCGTTCTTAGTTGCGCATGTTACCGCTGTGGAATGTAGCTTTTATGATAGCATAACGTACGACAATGGTGTGCTACTTCGTGATGGCGGTTGAAATCATGGTAATAACCCGAGCTGCCGACAGCGACTACATAGAATCAGGAGAACGTGAATAGAGAACGCATCTCCATGCATGTAACCCTGCAATTAATTTATCATTGCTGTAATGTCATTTAACTGCCAAATTGTTGAAAATGGCCCGGTTCAGAAACTTTTATCGGTGACACTAATATGTTATTAAAAGGTTTGTTGGGATAATGAGCGTATTTCCTGTCGCAATGTACCAGCGGACTCGAGAGATCAACTGCTATCTGCCCATGAACGCAAAATTTCATGCATTTTTCAATATCTCGTACAGACTGCAAAATTTTATCCTACATCAAACTAATATCGGCCAGGCCCGGGCCAGACGCACACTTAATCGCAGCGTACAGACACAAAATATGAATACTCAACCGGGCTAAAAGTTAGCACGAGTAAACTGCGCATGCTCACTTTAGCGTATTACGTCACGCAACAGACAGCAATGACGGTTAAACAACAGCACGACCTATGGCATTATTAAGATTTGTACTGTATTGTTATAGTCTATAATAGTAGATGAAGAAGAATATTAACAGGTGGCCGAATACACAGCAAAAACTACGACCGGCGTATACTCGAATCTGGGTATCCCATTATAATATTGAATTGGGCCATTTTATCAGCAATTGAAACGTAAACATACACATTGCCATGTCTGCCTTCCCATACATTTTGAATAGCTCTTTTGGCCAAATTGTAATTATAATTTGGCAAAGAGAAGTCTAAAAACAAAATTCCAGACAAAAATTCACACACTACTGTACATCGTATATCGCACCGCATATCGAAATATCGTCCGTACCTGGCCCCGGCTTGCGTCCACACACAATTTAGCGCGGGATAACTTTAGCTAGCACGCTTCGAAGCGGGTCTGGCCCACTTCCATTCGCAGGGCTAACTTAGTCCGGATTAGTGCGTATTAAGACCGGGATAGCGTGTACACACTGAAAAAATTGAGAGCACGCCTGGCCCGAACTAGTTTAACGTAAGATCAAATTTGCAGTCTGTACGGGGTATAGCGTAAACAATGTGTAATTTACCTACTTATATCATAAACTAATGCCGTTGCAGCACAAAACAGCACCACAATAGTTACCGTGGCAATATCTACATAGGGCCTATTATACCTGCTATATATACCTTATATACCTGTTTAATTACTATATATGGCTATTCGTGTTTCGAGGTTTTATATCGGTCAGCGGGATATAAAAAATTAGCTGAAAAAATTAAGAGTAACTTTATTTTAGATATTATATATAATTATATCATACTATTGTATATAAAAATACATGTCTAACCTTCCAGTAGTGAATATGTTACAGTTGAGACCTCCCATCACGGAACACATGACCATGATAGGTATTATTACCGCTATAGGTCCCATGGTGCGTTCCGCAAAAATCTGAAAAACAATCGATACGCTACAGCTACCAGGTGACCGTTGTGAATGAATAAACGTTAAAATCACGAAGACTCACTCAGAAAATATATAAGGCAATGTTCAACCATTTTCCGCGCATAAAAATGTATTGATGAATCATATCTATTAAGTTGCTTCCGCCCCGCGCGAAATTACCACATCTTTCTTGATTTTCTTGATTTCCACAACACAGATTTTCTTGCACCTTATCGGAATGGAGCGCTTGTTTTTAAAATGTAATCTAACTACGCCTCTCACCGCTGCAACAGCACTGCTCCCCAGTATTTCTTCTTTCGTAAGAACTGTGAAGTAGGCAATGTTGCCTAATGTATACACAGTGGTCACGATAGCTATGGAAATGTATATCGTCCTTGGAAGATTCCTGCCACGAAGATACAACACCCATTTATTGATTAATAAAACTGGGATAAAAATAAATGCCATAAATTAAACGCAGTGGCTACGCGTCTGGTTATTCATTACAAATCTCAGCACAGATTCCCAAATCCACGTCACGATTAGGCCACACCCCTTTCAAATCGTCGATTTTACTAGAAAAATACCTAAAGATAAGTAATATTATCGTAAAAACTTATTGTTTGTTTTTTACTGAAAAAATATAGTTAGGTTCACATAAGAAGCATATGACTGGACGCGTAGCCTGGGAGCTGGGCGTCCGGTAACATGGGCGTCCGGTCATATAAATCAATGAGGTTTTTGAGTTACACTTACTCAGTTATAAGTTCGTGCGCTGCGCACACCAACCGCTCTCTAAATTACCAAACATAAATAATAAATACCTTTCAACATCTTTTATCTCTTCAGCACTATAATTAATGACTTCGCTGAAAGAAACCATGTGAAATTGTATATAAGTTTAAGATACCACTCAGTATAGCAATCTATGATTTATCTTCAGCCATTAATTTATCTCTAACACTATATTACTTCAGTTAGTCTGTAATCATAACTCAATAGCTCACTAGTGAGTGATGTAGTATTCTTCTATTTATTCGTTATTCTTTCTTCTAATATTAATCCTTTGTCATAACGATACAATGTGATGACTCAAAGTGAACAAGGTGACTCATGTGATGAACAAATATAGTGATATAACACTTACTATAGCTCTTAAGGTCTATGTCCCCTTGACCTCTGTTTGACCTGGCTCGTTTAGCTATTTCTGACTAACCCTAACCCTATATATATATATATATATATATATATATATATTATTATATATTATATATATATATTAGTCAGAAATAGCTAAACGAATCAGGTCAAACAGAGGTCAGGGGGACATAGACCTTATCTGCCTTACTATATATCGCGTATGCAGAATGAAAACTGATATATGTTATTCTCAATGAAACCATATATTTCCGATCTTCCGGTCATGATTACAACCTTAACCGATTTCAAGTTCTAACCTTAAGAAACACTTGCTAGTTCGATGTTTTCGTTGTATGATAATTAAATTTATCTCTCCCCACTAAAGCTATCCACACAGGCGTACCCAACAAGATAAACTGGGCCACAAGATAACCCTTTCTCAGCAAATCTAAACATAAAAATCAGTGTAACACTCGACTTGTTCGAACAGCTGCCATACAGTTTATAGCACATAGTAAATAATATGTAATAGCTTATGCATAATGCAATATGTAGCATGTTATATATGGTACATAAGGATGTATAATCTAATTTTATGATCGACTTACAAACCGCCGTACGCGAATAGACCGGAATACATCGCCAGGCCTATCTCCCCGATCGAGGACGAGCTCCCGGCGAAGGCAGACTGGAAGCCTGGGATGTCTCCCTCACTCAGGATCATTTGCACAAATCCCATGATAATAATTGCACCCAGTGCCACCAATTTAATGTAGAACATCCAGTTCTGCATGTGTGCGGCCCATGTTACACTCCAGCAGTTCAGAGCTGTCAGACTTACTGCAATAGAGTAAAATATCATGACTATTACTGTCATTATTATCAGTATTAGTATTATTGTTATTATCAATACTATTATTATTATCATCATTGGTGTTAATTGGGTTGAGAGATCCTTGCGAGGAGTGTCACCCAAACATGTAGGTATATACTTACACGCGTAAGCATCGCGTTATCGCTTGTGCTTCGCCTACGACTAAAGGCTTGGCGCGTCGCATGATTTACTATATACATCATGCATACAAGACGTGTCAATACTTGAAGCACTATATACTACAAATAATTATATGACTTATCGTACGGCCTTGTGTCTTCATACATCCTTAGGTCAGCGATATTTGATATACAAAGATAAATGAATGTCACGACATGTACTGAATACCTATAATCCGAGATTCATTATTTATACAGTTGGTATATATCACTGAATGTTTATCACGGATGTAACAGCTATATAACGCGCATAAAATTAAAAACTTGGACGCGTTAAGGTTTTATAGGTTTATAGGTATATAACTTTGACGTGTGTCTAAACTCTAGCATTTAGAGTGCGAATATATTCCCAACTGTAGTCATCCGTCTAACAACACGAAGTAGAGCAGTTATTCAAACACCTCTATATCGGTTGTCATTTCCTAACGCTGACTATATGCGATATTAACTGCGAATAATATTAATATGCGAATAGCACGGAAGATGTGTTTGAAAACAGAAAATGTTTAGTGCATTACAAAGAATTAAAGCCGTGTGAAAGTTCCTTTTACAAAGTCGCGTTAAAAATACGTTTAGAGTATCTAATAATTTTTTTTACTAATGCGTATCGTTGAGAAATAACATAGCTACACATTACTAGGTTTAACATACGTATTTTTTGGGTTCGCATAGGCGTCATGCAAGGTTAATAAAAGTTACAACGGAAGTGCAGTTTCGTTAAGCGCACGGATTAGGGACACACGATGTCAACACGCGCGACTGCCACGTACCTACCGGTTTCGCGCACACCTATGTCTGATAGCCTTGACCTGGCGTTCATAGACACTGTACTCTGACACTACAGCTTTCTAATAGATTTATTACTTCGTGTCAGCGTTGAAGTAACGTAACAACTTTCACGTGAGTACGTTGCTACCATATAGATAACCTATAGATAATACAGATAATAATATGGTTATCTATATTATTTCTATGTTGCTACCGGGTTTGCGTAATAAATCATCAAACGTCTTTGCCTGAAGGGTTTACCGTCTGCTCGCATTCCTTTACATAAGAGCAAAATGTACTTAAGAGCAAGCATTTCCTTACTTAAGAGCAGAATAGTTTTATCTATAGGCGAAGACGGAACTAGGTGCGCATATATAGGTACGTTATCGTTCTTAAAATTTCGGTAAATGTTTATTAGGAGTTAATTAAAACGAACTGGCATGTAGCGTACAGCATTGAAAACATGTACTGCCAAACCTGTTAGCGCTTACCTCTGTAGAACAGACACGAATTTATAAGGAACTTATAGGATTTTATTAGTTTTACATTATTATGACATCATTGGTAACATAAAGAGTTTATGTAAGATATGTAACTATCTAGTGCAGATAAGGTCTATGTCCCCCTGACCTCTGTTTGACCTGGCTCGTTTTTTTATTTTAGCTATTTCTGACTAATATATATATATATAATATATAATATATATAAGGTTAGGGTTAGGGTTAGGGTTAGGGTTAGTCAGAAATAGCTAAACGAGCCAGGTCAAACAGAGGTCAGGGGGACATAGACCCTACGAGCCTATCTAGTGAATGTGATATCAACGTCTGGCATACAGCTGGTTAAATGAGAGAACGTTGAGAAATGATCCAGATCCAAATCCAGTAAACATGGTAATAAGGCGATGGTGGAATGAGAGCTCTAGCAATCTGGAGGAATATCAATTCATTACAATCTCACTATANCCCATTTGGCTCGAGCCAAATCATGACCGTGTGAACGTGACTTATATAGGGCCTAATGTAGACTGGTACCCGGTCGACAGTTCCACACGCTACACTTGTCAGTGTAGCGAACACAAGCGAAGGATATACGCCGCATGCCGGAGTGAAGGTGGTGAACGGGTACCAGTCTAGGCCTAATGTAGTGAACGAATCAGCAGCTGGTCTACATTTCCGCGCGCGTGTACAGTGAAGTCGGCATATGTTTCCATGTTCCAAAGTATGGTCGTGACGTACACTGACGTCACGCACGAACTCGGCTATCTCACTGATCTCTATAATATAATCATATTATAGAGATCAGTGGGCTATCTCCGAAGTTGAATCAGAGCACTTAAATCAACTTATGATTTAAGTTTTTCAAATTTTATGTTTTGAAATTTAATTCAAAGTTGATTTAATTGCTCTGGTTGAATGCATACAGCTGATGATGCTGGTGGTTGCGTGCTATGTCCTACTCCCTAACCCTAACCCTAACCCTAACCCTAATTAAATTTAATTAACACTAATAAATTAAATGTAATTAAAAAAATATATATTTTAATGAATTGTTGTAAATAAATCATGTAAATAGTTGCGTTAATTAGGAAAAAATTGTTAAATAGATGAAAATGAAAAAATAAAAAAATGAAAAAATACACAAATGAGATTCGAATCAAAAACATTCAGACTCAACACACGCCGGCGTACGAGCTCGCCTATTCAGCGTTATTGTAATAAAATTATAATATTATGAATGTGCCATGCATACATGGATGTGCGTCACTGATCTCTATAATATGTATGATATATATCAGGAGTAGATAATAGGGTACTATCTACTCCTATTATCTACTCCTGATATATATTATAGAGATCAGCGCAAACTCCACGACAGATGGCGCTCTCGCTCTGGCTCAATTCTACCACTGCCACAAGCTGATTTC